GAGGCGAGTGGTGGTCGGTCTAGATGACTGGATTGTTATTTATGTTGCTTCTGCTTTATTTGAACTATGACTGAACTTATGACTTTGGATATTTTGAACTCTAGTTTTTTTTTTTTTCCAAAACGATAGAGGTAATATAGAAAAGCACAAAAGTGCAAAAAGAACAAATTACAAGACCCCACCAGGGTAATCTAAGACCCCAACAGGGTAATCTCTAAGACCCCAACAGAGTAATGAGACAGGGGCCAATGGCCCAAACCAAAAACACCCTACTAAACAAACAGGAATAGAAAACTGAGAGGTCACGCACATGGAGGCCTAGAGAACTCCACAAACAAAATAAAAAAAAAATGAAAAACAGAGCCACATCACAATGCCTAGCCTGTAATCATCTCCGAACCACAGCAAAACCAACAGACCAAGCCAGCGGAGAACAGTCGCAGACGAGGAAGAAGCTGAGTTCAAGGAGCCACCTCGAAACCTCCATAAGGCCTATACAAAAGCCGAACCCGAATACGAACTAATCTCCCCAGACAAACTGGGGTCAAGTTATTCGAACTCTAGTTATTTATGTTATTTTGAAACATTGTTGGGAAGATGCCCCGTTGACATTGTTATGTCTTTTAAACTTGAGATTGAAAACCCGATTTGGGTGTTTATGTCTTATGGTGAAACCTTTGATAAGGTGATGAATTATATTTCGATGTCATAGCTATGACTGTATATTGTGATTCATGTGATGATGCTTGTTTTGACTTTGGAAATAAATGAGTAACGCCACAAATATTTTGAATGAGTTTCGAAGAATCAACATTGATTTTTCTGAAAAGCCATGGATTTTCGATAAATCATAGTGGGGCATTACAGCGTCCCACCCGAGCCCCTCTTCTATCGCTCTATTTCTCTATCCGACACCATTTTCGAGGTTCTTTTTTCCCCTCCGAAAGTCTCTAAAATGTCGGAGGACCTCAGATATGCCCTCATTGATAAATTCTCTTTCGGCAAGCCCTCCAATGAGGCTCTTCGGTCGAATCTCGCTCTCTTGGGTTTCATCGGATGCAAAATTCTTTTCCTTCAAGCCAATCCCATCTTGATCAAATTCGATGATCCAAACACGTCCACCAAACTTTGGTTGAAACGGGAAATCTCTATTCTAAATTTTCCTATGCGGATTTTCAAATGGTCCGCCGATTTCGATATCAAAAAAGAACCACCTATTGTCCCAGTTTGGATCAAAATCTTAGCTCTCTCCCTTTACTGTTCGAACAATCGCCAACATCTTTGGCACCATTTTAAAAGTTAATGATGCCACACTAAAAAAACCTCAGCTCCAATATGCTCGCTTTTGCGTAGCTGTCAATCTTGAATCCCCTCATCCCACTAGTATCGTCCTTTCTTGAAAACAAACGCGTCGAACTCACTGTCAAGGTCGAATACTTACCAAAATATTGTTCCTATTGCTCTCATGCAGGACACGATGACTCAACTTGTTACATAAAAAATCTAACCATTTGTCCTGCCAAAATTAACAAGGGAACCCCCCCCCCCTTCCCCACATTGAACCATCTCCTCATATTTGTCCCCCTTCTTCTGCTCTTCCGACCCCACCTTTTGTATCGGACCCGACTCCTTCGGACTTGAGACCTCCTCTTGACACGTCTCCACCCAACCCCTCTTTATTAGGCACGGTTCCTTCCCCAACCCAAATCCCTGGCCCCTACTTTTTCCCTGAAGCGGGACAGGGCAATATGTCTGACTCATTGGGGCAACATGCATAAAAAACCAATCATTGCTCTCTCCCCCCTGCTCCGCCCCATTATCCTAAGATCTACACAAACTCTTTCGGGAATAAACAGCGGATTAGGCGTAGCACGAGGAACAAGAAAAAACTAGACCATTTTCAAGATTCACTGATGAAGTGGTAACTTAAGTTGTTGTCTTTTTCTTTTCCTCGTTTTTTTTTCTTTATTTCAGTTTTTATTGGACTTATGTAGACCAGTGACTTTTGTGGCCATTTAAGGTCGTGACTATATACATGTTAAGGATCCAGTCTCAATCCCTCCCC